AAAAAAAAAAGAAAGAAAGAAATACCCAAAGGAGTTTAAGGACTTCCAATGCAGGGTGAAGAAACTTAGCCATCAAAATATGTGGCTCTTAAAGACTTCCTCTGCCAATTAGCACACTCTGTTCCTGACATACATGACGTATGGTCATGTTAGACATCAGACATCCTGTTAGACATTTGTCACCTCTTCAATAGTGTTTAAGAACATCAAATGTTACTCAACTGGAAACATGGCAGAGGTATTCTGTGATTCTATTAAATATATTAAAAATGAAATTTCTATTCAAGTACAGTGGGACAGGAGTGACAGCTTAGAGAAAAAGTAAGGCAGAACCTGAGTCATGCTCCTAGTTATTTATTATCTCAATAGCTCAAAGCAAACAAGGTCACCTGACAAGCAAGAGGTCACTCTTCTTCTTGGCAGGTAAAAGAGGCAGGAGAGTCTGTTTAATATAGTTTGGGACTTTAATATAGTCCCTTTAATATAGTTTGGGACTTATTCTTGCCATAATAAAAAGAACAAACTCCATAAAAGGAAACACTAATTGAAAATGCTCTTATATCTTTGATAAATCTACCTCTTTTGGTTTTATTGTCTTCTTTTCTTCCCCAAGACCTTCCTATTTGTGTGAAATTGTGTTAAGAGCACACAGAGGGGGCTTCCCTGGTGGCGCAGTGGTTAAGAATCCACCTGCCAATGCAAGGGACACAGGTTCAAGCCCTGGTCCAGGAAGATCCCACATGCCATAGAGCAACTAAGCCCGTGTGCCACAACTACTGAGCCTGCGCTCTAGAGCCCGCGAGCCACAACTACTGAGCCCGCGTGCCACAACTACTGAAGCCCACACACCTACAGCCCACGGTCCGCAACAAGAGAAGCCACCGCATTGAGAAGCCCGCACACTGCAACAAAGAGTAGACCCTGCTCATTGCAACTAGCGAAAGCCCACATGTAGCAATGGAGACCCAACGCAGCCAAAAATAAATAAATAAATTTATTTTTTAAAAAAACCCTTGTTTAAAAAAAAAAAAAAGAGCACACAGAGGATAAAAATGTATCCAGTACCTAGAATACTTTGTGCACAGAATAATCCATAACCACATAAGTAACAGTCATATGATAATTATGTCATTAAACTCAAAATTCTTTCATAGCTCTCTACATAAAATTACCATTTATATCTTCCAATAGGATCCCAGAATCCAGGCCTTGATAGTTTACAGGGTCCTTCAGTTGCCTGCTTATAAAAGCTATAGAACTTGAGCATCATTTCATTTGTTGGCTGGAATGAACCTATTGGAAACATACATTAAGTAAGATCACTTGGAGAACACAATTGATGAGCTAATGCTTAGCTTACTAACAGTGATTTTTTAATATTTTATTAATAGTTCAGATAATTTATTCTTATTTTACAGAAATAAAAGTTATGGCTCAGTTTATTTCTTTGATTTGAAAAAACTCTGAAATTTTACACTTTAATAACAACGCCTAACATAGTTCAATAAATAAGAGAATAAAAGAATAAACATGTTGTAGACGTAACCAAAATAACTGGCAAATGTCATTTAAAAAAAATAAATTAAAATATAGAATAACTATCATGCAACTGTAATAAGGTATTTCTATTAAAAAATTATGACAAACCACACTGACTATAGCACAAATGAAAGTTAAATGTATACTCTGCTTAATAAAACTGCAACAGTAAGAAATTCAACTTCTCTTGGCCAAATTTCCGATTTCTCAGGGGATTAGGAACTTTGGCTAAAGCCAACCAGTGTGTACTGTGATAGAAAAAGAATTAATCCAAGATAAAATAGATTTCTCACTTCCTACCTCCATAGTTTTGGACATGCCAATTTTTTGAGGATCAGTCTTCACATGTTTCTAGGTTATCAATAAACTTTTTTATGTTTAAAGTTTTCAAATTGTTTGAACAAATGCTATAAGTTGCAATACTCTTAATGAGAGAGAAAAATTAGAATATAAATGTTTTATAATAACTAACTGGCTAAATAATTATGATATACATAAATTATGGGATTATTTATAACTACCGCCCTTAAAATTTTTACTGTAGAAAAATATTAAAAATAGCATGAGAAAAGTTTCAACATCTACCATAAAATGAGTTAAACAGCAGTTTAAAACAGCATATCCAGCACAATCCATTTTTACAAAATAAGTACTTATATACTTAAAAGGCAGAGTAGAAGGAAACATGTCAAAATGTTAAAAGAGGATAGATATCGCTGTCATAGGCATATAGATTACTTCTAGTTTCTTTTTTGCTTATTTGCATTTTTAAAAAATTTACATTTATTTTGCATTACTTTTGTTCCAAAATTTATTATAAAAACAAAAATTAAAACTGTAAAAAGATGTTTTTAAAACTTCACAGATTGCATAATAATCTGATAACATGTAGTAATCAAAAGCTAGTAGTTTATAAACATCGTGAAAATTACAACACAGACAAGCTGAGAGCTGGTGTTTCAGTTTTGGCCAGGAGTGAATAATTAATTCCAAAATCACAATAATAAATTAGCTACACAATATATGCTCATTTAGGAATATCCATTAGATACAGTGTTTCAATGATATAGTCTTTATACAGCAGAGGGGAAAAAAATGGAGAAACTATAGTTAAAAATGGTTACCTATTTAAAAAAAAATGGTTACCTACTTAAATGACACAAACCTAAATTTAAAACATCAAAAGCCTCATCTCATAATATCTTCAGTAAGTCAATCAACTGAGATTTAAAAGTTTATTGGTTAAGGTGAGTAACATATACATTAGGTTAAAGCAAAAACTAATAACATATATTGAATATATTCTGTGTATAAGACACTAGATAAAGTATAGTCTCTATCCTCAAGGTGCTCACACACAACATCTTACCGAAAAATCTGAACAAACTTTTTGGCCAACCCAATACATTTGATATGTATGTGTTTAAAACATAATATAGGAAAATAAATTTCTAAAGGTCAAGGGCATACCAAACATAGGTGCTATAGGATTCATTATAACTTTATGCCATAGATAAAGATTAAGCAACAAGCAACATAAAAACTGTAAGAATATCTGCAAAATAATCCAGGACAGATGACAAAACTTAAAAGTTTTACTATAAAACTATTTAATGATTCATTATAACAATACTTCTGCTTCAATTATTATCAGTTTAGTTTCAGGAGATAATAGTACAGTACTGAACATTGCCCCACCCAGCTGCCCTTTGGCAGAGGTTGTTAACTTGGCAATACCTTCTTAAATGTTATATAAACACAAACTGTATTTACACTTATATGGGTTTCCTAATGAGTGATATATGGTGTCAGCAAAGATAGCAAAGGATCATCAAGTCTAGCTCTATCAGTTTTCAAAAAATATAAAAACGTGTGGTTCAGAAGTAAGGATGAAGGTACCATTTAAACAAAACTCTTAGAATCATGCCTTCATGTAAACTCTCTTCATCAGACATTTAAAAAATCAATACCTAAATAAGTTCCTATGTTATTTCTCTACATTTTGTTCATTCACTCTTCTTTCAATCCCTCATATGTCCTCCTCCAATTTGGTGTTTGAGATTACAAAAGGAAAGCTATTTTGTGTATATTTGTTTTCAAAACCTTTTGTATCTGCACTTAATGAATGTTCGTTAATAGTATTGAACATTCATTACTTAGCCAAATGATAATTAATGAAAATAGGGAACATGACATTAAATACTATAGTAGTATATTAGTGTTATATTCAGTTAATTTTACACTCTGGCACAATGATAGTAGTTAAAAGTATCATTAAAAAAATACACGTTTATTGTGGAAAAATACATGTTTATTGCAGAAAGATATGAAGTGAAAAGTCAAATTCCCCCTTTCCAAGCCTCTCCACCGAAAAAATATTTGAATAACGGCCTTAAACTTCCCAACATTTGTCAAAGACATAAAATTACAAATTCAAAAAGCTCTGCAAAACCCCAAACAGCATTAATATGAAGGAAACCATACCAAGACAGATCATAATCAAACTGCTCAAAACCAACGATAAAGAGAAAAATCTTGACAGAAGCCAGAGAAACGACAGGCTAAATATGAAAGAACAGCTCCAATGACTTTTCATCCAAGGTGCAAAGGTCCCATACGAGTATGAAAAAGAGAACACTAGGACCATAGAACAGGTTTTTTTTTTTTAAGTAGTAAATATATATGTACTTTTAAAATAAGAGAAATCGTTTTACAAATGAATATAGTTGTTCTTTCCTTTCTTTCCCTTCATATCAAAAGTTTTCAAAAAGTAGACTTTATGAGTATGCGGCCTTAGGCATCCCCATCCCAGATTTTTTAAAAACATACCCAAATCCGCAGTCATTAAGGGACTTTTCTTTTCGACAACAATATAAACTGCTTAAAATCTGGATAATATATTTGTCTCAGGCTTGAAAGATCAGCAGGCAATTAATTCCCATCCGACACCTCCCCTTCAATTACATGCCTTTTCAACGCAAAAGAAGAAGTAGGTTAAATAAGCAAGACTAGAAGCAGAAAGAAGGCTAAAGGAGGTGAGATTCAGAAACTGGGGCCTCAAGCCTCTGCAGAAGGCTTGTCCAGCCGGGCATGCACGTACCATTTTTCGGCAAACTCTGGATCACCTTCACCGCCGCCTCAAACCGGGTTTCATGCACGGATCTCGTGTCCGCCATCTCCAGCCTCCAGCGCCGGCCCCGGTCCCAAGGTCTGTCGGCTGGAATCAGGCAGCAGCAGCAGCACCACCTTTCCCAGGAGCCTGCATGAAACTGGAACATGGAGCGCAGCCGCGGATCAACATGCCCAAAGGGAGGAGGACCCGGAGCGCAGCTGGTCAGTTCCCCGTGGCCCTGCCCTATCCAGGCCACACAGTCTGAGATGGCCCGCTCCTTCCTCCTCCCCGGGGCGTGACCTAGGCTGGGGAGGCCGGGCCGCCCAGACAGAAAAACAACTCACCGAGAGGAAGAGCATCTCTAGCAGAAGGCGGAGGGGCCCCGGGCACTGGTGGTCGCTGTGCCGCTGACCCACCCGCAGGACCCTGGCGGAGCGGCCACACCCCCCATCCCCGCGAGGTCCGTCTGTGCGTCCGCGCCCTCCCCGCAGCCCCGCCCCAGAGTCTTGGGGGGACCCACTCTCTACCGCCACCGTCGCCGCGCAGCAAACTTCACCCACCCGCCCAGCAGCCTTGGCGATGACGCACGCCGTCTGTCTGTCCCTGGAAAAGGGCCGGAGAAAGCGGAAAAGAAGAGCAGCGAGATGGATCGGCGGAGGGCCCCGGGCTCGTTGTTTGAACAGGCCCGACCGATGTGTCGGCGCCAGGGCAGCCGAGGCGGGGTTGCAGCGCGTGTAGGCACCGCTGGGCAAAAAAATGACTGTGGTCCCCAGCGCCTGTCCTCTCTTAGGTTAAGGTTTGAGAAAGGTGATGGGACTTAAGCAAAGAGCTTTAGATCCAGAGAGACCTGGTGCGAACCTTAAATTCTGCCATTTAAGTTCTGCGACCTAGGGCAAGTTACTTAGCCTCTCCAGCGGCAATCTTCCTAACACCCGAAAGGGTAGATGAAAGGATTAGGGATGCTGGATGGAGGTGCTTAGCAGTGCTTGGCTCGCAGGTCTTTGACAGCTTTAGCCGCCCCGAGACAAGGACGTCCGAGCAACAACCAAAGGAGAGGGGAGGTTGCCCGCTACTTAGACTGGGCGGGGGGAGGGAGAGCACCTTCCCTTGCACCAACCCCGACTTCGATCCCCAGGGATCCGGGCTCCGTACAGCTCCAGCCCGAGCTAATGGGCGACAGGGCGTGGGGGAGGGCTGAACGAGGGACCAGTACGGATCATCAACCCTAGAAAGAGGTACCCTGGGCCTTCACCTTTCTAGCACATCGCCCCGCGTCCTCAGGCATCTAGGAAGCGCCCCCAGGCCCAAGGCGGGGGTACTGCTATAGGTTCTGGGGGTGGAGTCCTGCTGCCCGGAAATCCCAAAGTCGCCAGGTCCCTTTGTCAGTTCGGGAGGGGTTAGGAGGGTGACTAGTTTAAATCTAGGCGCAGACTCTTAAGTTACTCTTCCCTTCGAGCCGCAGTGCCGGCATTTACCTTGGTATTGCCGGGCAAGGCCTGTCCGGTAAGGTCCCCGACGCCCGCCCCTCGCCCTGCCCCCGCTGGCTTGTGGGAAATGTAGTCCCCGCTCCGGGCGCTTCCGGACACCTCCCTCTGGCGGCGGGCGTTCCTCCCACCTGTTCCGGTTCGTTTTCTCTGTCCCGCAGATGCTGGAGCCGTTGCGACGGAAGTCCCGCCTTGCTGCTGCGTCGCACTTTGTGCTACTTCAAAACACCACATCCGCTTCCAGCCAAAGGGATAGACACTCAGTGGTCCTTTCAGAGGTATCCAGGTGGGGCTGGACTGGAGTGGGAGAGCTGGGGTCTTGTTTCTTGCTTCTGATGCTTACTAACTTTGAGATCGTGTGCTGTTAGATTACCGTCAGGTAATAAAAACTACGGCTTACTGAGTGCCTGATACTTGCCAAGCACATAATATGTATTCCAAAAACGCTGTAGGGTGTTTGTCAATGAGGAAATTGAACCATATTAACTCATTTGCCCAGGGTCAAGTAGCAGTAAGTACAGGAGTAAGTAGACAGAGCCAGGAGTCAGTCAAAGCAAAAAACTCTTGCTTTATATCTTGGATTTTTTCCAGGACAGCAGAGTGTAAGAAACTAACAGTGTCCAGCTAGGGAGATTTTATGTGTTTAATATCTACCGCTTCCTCTACTCTTTCCTTGCTCTTTTATTATGTATCTTTTCAGTTCCAGTCAGTCGTGCATACTTATAAGAGGGCTTGGGTATTCATTTCGTATCTAGGACTTCATTTTAGCAACTGTTCATTAAGCTTATGTAATAAGCGAATTTACAGTACATTGGTCTTTAAGTTATGATGAATAAGAATTTTTCTGCCAGTGACTTCTGTTGTATTTCCATTTGCTGGTACTATGAATTTCCAATCAAGGAGAATAGCATAAGGAGAAAAGACATTGAGGTTATTCAGGTAAAGGTATTTAAAAAGTAGCTCCTTCTTGTAGCTGTGCTGGTTTAGATGTGATACTTCCTACTGAAATGTAATGATGAATATGATGGATTGAATCAGTTCCTAAGGTGCCTTCCAATTATGTAATCCTGTAATTCTACCTAAAATATATCTCATGGAACACTAATGCCTTTTAGTACTTTCAGTACAGTGCCTAATATGAAGCATTTATTTTAAATTGAGATATATTGACATATAACAATATATTAGTTTCAGGTGTACAACATAATGATTTGATATTTGCATACATTATGAAATGATCACTGCAGTAAATAAAGCATTCTTGATCATTTATTTCTATAGATATTTTTATATAAATTTATTTATTCATTAATTTTTGGCTGCATTGGGTCTTCACTGGTGCACGCGGGCTTTCTCTAGTTGAAGTGAGCAGGGCTACTCTTTGTTGCGGGGCGCAGGCTTCTCATTGTGGTGGCTTCTCTTGTTGCAGAGCACAGGCTCTAGGCACACGGGCTTCAGTAGTTGTGGCTCATGGGCTCTAGAGTACAGGCTGAGTAGTTGTGGTGCACGGGCTTAGTTGCTCCGCGGCATGTGGGATCTTCCCGGACCAGGGCTCGAACCCGTGTCCCCTGCATTGGCAGGCGGATTCTTAACCACTGCGCCACCAGGGAAGCCCTCTACAGATGTTTTAATTAAGAATGGGTCCGCTTCTTACACATGGCCACAAGAAAGGTAAAATAGTACGTTTAAGGGTTTTAAGAAACATAAAGGAATAAATATTAAAATAAAAAGGATTCTTTTAGATGCTCTTTCCTTTACAAACATTTTAAAAGTCCTGCTATGTCTCATGTAATGTAATTGACACTGAAGTTACAAAGCCTTTCAGGGAACTCAGTCTAGTGTGGGAAACAGGTATGTAATGTAATAATTACACCGCAATGCAGAAGTGTTAAAACTGAAAGATATAAAAAACACTATATTATGTGTACCAAAAGTCAACTACAAAAGTGTTCATAATAGCACTGTTTGCTAACAGCCCAAACCTGGAAGCAACTCAGTGACCATCAACAGTGGAATAGGTAAATATGGACTACTGAAGAGCAATGAGAGCAAATGAACTACATCTGTTCAGCATCTTCCGTGAATCTCAGAGGCGCAAGGGAAAAGAATCTAGATTCAAAAGAGACCGTATTGTATGATTCTGTCTACATAAGTTTCAAACAGGCAAAACCAACGTATGTTCAAATTCAGGCTGGAGGTAAAGTGTCTGGAAATGGGAAGAGGGAACTTTGAGGTTCTAGTATTGTTCTATTTCTTGAGTTAGGTGCTTTTCACGGGGGTACAGGGGTATGTTCACTTTGTGTAACTACTGAAATGCATAACTAAGGTTTGTTTATTTTTCTTTGTATATGTTATCCTTCAATTAAAACTTTCATTTAAAAAATTTAAGTGCCATGGGAACAAGAGAAAGATTAAATCTATGTGACAGATGAGGGGGATGTCACAGAGGAAGCAACTTTTTAGCTGGTTCTTCTGGAATGGGGAGAGAGTCATTCTAGGTAGAGGTAGAAAAGCTAAAACAAGTGATCATTTTGTAATGTATAGAAATATCGTTATCACTATGTTGTGCACCAGGAACTAACATAGTGTTGTAGGTCAATTATACTTAAAAAGAAAAACAAACTCATAGAAAAAGAGACCAGATTTGCAGTTACCAGAGGTGGGAAGCGGAGGGAGGAGGAATTGAATGAAGGTGGTCAAAAGATACGAACTTCCAGTTATAAAAGAAATACTAAGGATGTAATATGCAACATGATTAATATAATTAACACTGCTGTATGATATATATGAAAGTTGTTAGAGTAAATCCTAAGAGTTCTCATCACAGGTAAAAAAATACTTCTTTTTTGTTTATTAAACTTCCTGTGATAATCATTTCAAGATGTATGTTAAGTCAAATCATTATGCTGTACACCTTAAACTTATACAGTGCTGTATGTCAATTATATCTCAGTAAAACTGGAAGAAAAAAAAGCTAAAACAGTACACCATATGTGGTTAGCAGCAAGTTTGTTCACATGATGGCAACATAGTTATGAGGGAAGGTGGGTCAAAGCACTGGATGAAAGGTCAAAGCACTAATTGAGGCCGACTTGAAGGTCATATATGCCATGCAAAGGAGTTTGTACTTTGTTATGGATCCATGAAGACTATTTTTGTAACAGCTACAGTTTGGTTAGGAAAGCAGAACTACTATGATTGATACAGTATAAGAGATTTTTTTGGGGGGGGATTTATTTTTGGCTGCGTTGGGTCTTCGTTGCTGCGCACGGGCTTTCTCTAGTTGTGGTGAGGGTGTCTACTTTTCATTGCAGTGCGCAGGCCTCTCATTGCAGTGGCCTGTCTTGTTGCAGAGCATGGGCTTCAGTAGTCATGGTACGCGGGCTCAGTAGTTGTGGCTCTCAGGCTCTAGAGCACAGGCTCAGTAGTTGGGGCTCATGGGCTTAGTTGCTCTGTGGCACGTGGGATTTTCCTGGACCAGGGCTCGAACACGTGTCCCCTGCATTAGCAGGCGGACCCTTAACCACTGCGCCACCAGGGAAGCCCGGTATAAGAGAGCAATTACAGGGATTAGAGTTTACATAACTGTGGGAGCTGATAAAGAGGCCTTTGGAACACTTTGCCTCTGTTTCTGGAGGTGAGGCTAAAATGGCTATAGGTCAGCATATCTTATAGTCAGGAACTGGTGTGAAGGACTGAAGAGCAAACTGAGACCCCTAAGCACAAACTGAAACCAATGAGGACAAATTGAATCCTATGTTATCTCTCACTGCTTCTAAATTCAGTGATGTGCATATAACCTTCAGAACAAAATGGTACCAGTCTCCATGGAGCTGAACTCATGCCTGACTTAAGACCCAGGGAAGCTGTGTGTCAAGCTGCTACTCCACGCCTGGTATCCTTCAGAGCTGCTTCACTTCTGCCTGCCAAACCTCACATAAATTCATCTGGGAGGGGACTTCCCTGGTGGTGCAGTGGATAAGAATCCACGTGCCAATGCAGGGGACATGGGTTCGATCCCTGGTCCGGGAAGATCCCACATGTCACAGAGCAACTAAGCCCATGTGCCACAAGTACTGAGCCGGCACACCTAGAGCCCGTGCTCCACAACAAGAGAAGCCACCCCAACGAGAAGCCCAGTTATTATAATTATTACTTGGCGTGGCCAAATTTTATTCCAGAAATATATAGAAAGATAAACATTAAAAAATCTAACAGGGGGGCTTCCCTGGTGGCACAGTGGTTGAGAGTCTGCCTGCCAATGCAGGGGACATGGGTTCGTGCCCCGGTCCGGGAAGATCCCACATGCCACAGAACGGCTGGGCCTGTGAGCCATGGCCACTGAGCCTGCGCGTCCGAAGCCTGTGCTCCACAACGGGAGAGGCCACACAGTGAGAGGCCCGCGTACCGCAAAAAAAAAAAAAAAAAAAAATCTAACAGGAACTTCAGTGGTGGTCCAGTGGGTAAGAATCCGTGCTCCCAATGTAGGGGGCTGGAGTTCAGTCCCTGGCTGGGGAACTAGATCTCACATACATGCCACAACTAAGAGTCTACATGCTGCAACTAAGACCCGGTGCAGCCAAGATAAATATAAATAAATAAATATTTTTTAAAAAAGAGTTCTCATCACAAGGGAAAAAAATTTTTTTAAATCTAACCTAAATAAAAAGAGAAATTGAAAAGACAAAACAAAAACCCAACCTTGGCTGTTATTCAGAAATACCATCTGTTATGGACTTAATGTTTGTGTCCGCAAAATTCATGTGTTGAAGCCCTAACCCCCAATGTGATTGTATTTGGAGATAGGGCCTGTGATAAAGGCTAACTGAGGTCATAAGGGTGGGACCCAAATCCAATAGGGTGGTGCCCTTATATGAAAAGGAGGAGACACCAGAACTCTTTCTCTCCACTATGTGAGGACATAGAAAGAAAGTACCTATCTATAAGCCAGCATCTTGACCTTGGGCTTCTCAGCCTCCAGACTGTAAGAAATAAATTTCTGTTGCTTAAGCCACCCAGTCTATGGTATTTTGTTATGGCAGACTGAATGGATAAAGACTCCAGCCATACTTCTGAAAGACAGCCAAAGAGGAAAAAGAAATGAGGCATAAATGAAAGAAAGGAAGAGACAAAATTTTTAATTTTGGATAATAGAATTGTCTAGAAAAATAATATTGAATAAGCTAAAATGCTATTAAAATGAATTTGAGTTCAAGCAGATGAATAATTTGAGATAAATATACAAAATCTATAGTTGTCTAATATTGGAATGCAGAAG